CAGTTTCGTCGCGGCACTCGTGCGAACGAGTCGTGTTGTAATTGTTTACGTCGATTTGACGCACTAATCGTCTGACCATTGATAAGCAAGTACCTAAGAGCTTAGAAAGGTCCCGCGCGGGGCAAACCGGTTTGCCACCGGCGCGCTATAGATGCAACGTGTCTGCGAATACAATGAGTGATACAAATGAGAATTACGATGAAATAAATGATGAGAATATGAATGAAGTTACAAACGAAATTTCAACTTCAAATGAAAATTTAGACAATTTAGATAATCCAACCAAGAAGAGAATGAGGGGAAGCAGCGATGAAGAATGGACAGAAGTAACACGAAAAAGCAAAAAACTTAAGGATATAAACAAAATAGAAGTATACATATCCAGTAAAGAAAAACTACCAAAACAATTTAATTTAGCCAAGATATTTAGAGACCAGAATATTAAAGATATTATGAGAGTAAAGTTTACCAATCCATACCGAGTTCGTATAGAACTGGGTAATGAAATTAGTGCGGAGAAATTAGAAACATGCAAATACTTTCTTGATCAAGGGTGGAATATTCACAGAGCAATGGAGAATAGTATGTCGTACGGAGTGATACGAGATGTTGACTTGGACATGTCAGAAGAAAACATTTTGGAGAATATTTTTTGTCCTGAACCAGCTAAGCTAATTTCAGTTCTTCGTCTGAATCGCAAGAATTTTGGGGAAGATGGATGGTCACCTAGTGAAGCTGTGCGCCTTGCCTTTAAAGGTTCCTTTCTACCACCATATGTGTACACTCATGATTTGAGAATAAAAGTCGAACCATATGTATTTCCGGTTTCACAGTGCTCACGTTGTTGGAGATTTGGCCATGTACATAAAAAATGTCCTAGTAGCAAGGTGATTTGTCCCAAATGCGGAAAAAATCACGAAAATTGTGAAACTTCTGATATGAGATGTGTTAACTGTGGAGGGAATCACATTTCTCTCTCAAAAGTATGTCCAAGCTTTCAAAGGGAAAAAAGATTGAGAGAACTCATGGCTGAGTTTAATTGCACATATCGAAAGGCCCTAACTATATATGCACCAAAAGAACCTAGTAAGGAAATCAACATTGAGAGATTAAGTAGTGAGATACATCCCACATTGGAAGAAGAGAACTTTACGTTTCCCACAAATATTAGTAGTCCAGTTTTTAAAATAACCACTAAAGCACAGATACATAAAAAGAAAGGGAAATCATCAACTAAACATAAACTGAACGAGGAAGATAAAACAGATATTAGTTATATGGAGTGGATAGAAGAAGGACAACATAATAATACTGAAAGGAAAAACTCCGTTGAATCAGAAGCAAAACAAAGAGATGTTACTTTCAAGGAGTTATTAATGAGGTTACGAGAGATAATATTCATGAAGGGAAGCACTATACACACAATTTTTAAAGAAGTTATCAAGACGTGTATTGAGTGGGTAATATTAGTATTAGCTGATAATGTAGCGGACTGGCCTATACTCAAATTAATTATGAACCTCCTATCAAATGGCAGATAAGTACTCAAAAATTATTAAACTTAATATTATACAATGGAATACACAAAGCATTCGTCCAAAGTTATGTGATTTTGAGAATTTTTTATTACAGGACAAGATTCACATTGCTGTCTTAAGCGAGACCTGGTTAGAACCAGATAGTAATTTTAAAGTAAAAAATTTTAATATATTCCGTAAAGATAGATACGACGCATACGGCGGTGTAGCAATTCTTACGCATAAATCAATTAAGTCACAGATTTGTCATAATTTTCAACACTCTAATCCAGGAATAGAAATTATACACGTTAAAGTGTACAACTGCAATCAAATTGAAAATATTATTTCTATTTACTGCCCACCTTCAATAAATACTAGCCAGTCTGATTGGGATCAATTATTTTTACAGGTAAATACCAAAACTTTACTCTTAGGTGACTTTAACGGACACCACACCAATTGGTCCAATAAAGTCGACAGAAGAGGTAATCAAATCTTTGATGCAATTATTAGTAGTAACCTTGTGTCATTAAATACCGGGGCTCATACTCGTATTAAGCTGGTTAACAACGTTCTTCAACAATCTTCCCCTGATATTTCATTAGTCTCGACCGACATAAGTCTTAATTTAAATTGGAATGTACTGAATGAGACGTTAGGTAGTGATCATTACATTATTAAAATTACGACATACTTCAAAGCCAGTGATTACTATATTTCCCGTCGAAACTACAAAAAGGCTAATTGGGAAGGATACCGTAAAATTTTGAATGAACTGTTTAATGATACTATTTTAACCAATGATTTCCAAAAAAATTACGACTTATTTACAGATTATTTAGATATAGCGGCAGATCTTTTTATACCATCTATTAAAATCAATATAAATCCAGAAGTCAAGTTTACACCAAAACCTTATTGGAGTCCTTATCTTTCTAAGGTTGTTGCAGAACGCCGCTTAGCACTTTCGAAATTTAGACGTAACCCATCACCACACAATCTCGGAATTCTTCAAAGTAAAATCTCCGAAGCTCAAAAACAAATACGTCGGGCTAGAAATAAGTCATTTCAAGAATTTTGTTCTAGTCTTGACCAATCTACAACCCATAGTGAACTATGGCGTAGAATGAGATGGGTAAAGGGATATTTCCCTCCAAGATCCCATATCGACGACACTAAAGTCAATGAACTACTTTGTAGTTTAGCCCCGGATTTCGTACCATGTGAGAAACCTTTACTTTTTTCAAATAACCCAACACTAGAAGTACCTATAACAATCCAAGAACTGATTAAGTGTTTAAAAAATAAAGATACAGCCCCCGGTTGCGATAAGATCTCATATTCTATGATAACTCAATTACCTGACAACGGAAAACAAATGTTACTCGATTTATTTAATTCGTTTCTCAAAAACTCATTTGTACCTAAACAATGGCGCGATATAGTAGTTATACCAATCCCTAAACCAGGCCGCGACCCTTCTTTAGTTTCATCTCTGCGGCCGATATCTATGATCTCGTGTGTATGCAAATCTTTCCATAACATTCTACTCAACAGATTAGAGTGGTATATAGAAAAGAATCGTATGCTACATCAAAATACGACTGGGTTTAGAAAATGCCGATCGACAGTAAACAATCTCACCAGTTTAGTTTCAAGAATACAAACAGGTTTTTCTAAAAAACAAAGTACAGTATGTTGTTTTATTGACTTAGATAATGCATACAATAATGTGGATATTTATAGTTTATTAAGAATCATGGATTACTTAGGAGTAGGACAAAGAATATCTGATTATGTTTGGAATTTTTTACGATCTAGAAATTTAAAAATTAACACAGACAATTATTCACTGTGTAGAACTACTGCTCGCGGCCTGGCACAAGGAGATCCTTTTTCTCCTTTGCTGTTTAATATAGCTACAATCAATATTTGTAAAAAGATAAATAATGTTAGTATTTCTCAGTTCGCAGACGATTTTGTATTATATTTTACTACCCATAATATTTTAGAAGCAAAACATGAACTACAAATAGCTTTGGATCAATTTAACAAATTAGTGGAAAACATCGGTTTAAATATTTCATCAAGTAAAAGTAAAATATGTATATTTAAAAACGGATTTAAGAAAGATATTATTAAAATTAATATAAATAAAAGTACTCTTGAAGTAGTTGACACATATAAATATTTAGGATTATGGCTGGATCGTTCTCTAAGATGGTCCAAACATATAAATGAGCTGAGAGATAAGATGTCGAAATTTCTTAATGTGTTTAAAATACTGGCTGGCCCAGGATGGGGAGTACACCCGACTCATTTGCGACGGTTATATATTGCCATTATACGTAGCAGATTAGATTACGCGAGTTTTTTATACCACAACAGTTGTCAAACTAATCTTCATAAATTATCTAAAATACAGAATCAATGTCTGAGGGTCATTGGGGGTTTCATAAAAAGTACACCCATACATGTGATGGAATGCGAACTTCATATACAGCCGTTGCATATTCGCAGATATTACTTAGCTGGCAAATGGTATTTGAAGCTAAAGTCTTTTATAGGTGATAACACCTGTGAAATTATCAACACCCTATACAATAACTGCCAAGGTACTCAGTGGAGACGCAAAAAAATACCACTCTTAGTTCACATATCTGATATATTTAGTAACACAGTTGTCGATGTTGATTGTCATAGCGAATTGGGATTATTCTCGCTGAACACGTGGATAAGCAGTGTGAACTTGTTCTGTATGATTAACCCGCATATTGAAGAGATTACAGAAGCTAAAAAATTATACAATATTAATCATCTTCGAAGTATTTGCTATGAACATTTTAACACAAATTACTCGGGATATTATACTTTATATACAGATGGATCTAGAATAGGAGATGCGGTTGGTGCGGCATTTTATGATCCTCAAAATAACATAACTTGTAAATTTCAACTTAACCCAAAAATATCGACCATGCACTCGGAATTAGTCGCAATTTGCGAAGCTGTGTCATATCTTGATTCTATTAATTTTAATAATTGTGTTATATATTCGGACTGTAAAAGCGCACTCCAACATTTACTTAAATGTATAAAGAGTAACGGTTATCCTGTAGCATACAAAATTATAGATAGTATGGTTAAGCTTAGGAACAGGGACAAACACATTGTATTACAGTGGTTGCCCTCCCATATCGGCATTAAAGCAAATGAGAGGGTAGATAGTCTGGCTAAAGAAGCTTGTTTTGACGGTATCCCAATGACACATAAACCGCATTGGACGGATGTTTTAAGAGAAGTTAAATTAAAATGTTACGATAATTGGAATGAATATTTTGACGAAAAGTCGTTGACCAAAGGCATTTGGTATCGCACGATGCGACCGACTGTATATACGTTCCCGTGGTTTGATAATGCCAATATGAGCAGGCAAGAAATTGTGACGAGTTTGAGACTTCGCTCCGGACACATTCCATTAAATAGTTTTGCTGCAATGATGGGTAAAGTAGTGTCACCAAATTGTACGGAATGCGATATTGTTGAGGACGTGTATCATATCATAGTGGAGTGTGTCCGGAATGATGCAGATAGATGTCGGATACAAAGAGAATGTAACATAGATTTTCGTGAATTTGGAATATGTAATTCAAGTCTAGCCTTTCCAACATCTAATTCTGCTAAGATAATTTACAAGTTATTTCATTTAGGAATTAAACGTAGATTGTAAGTTTCCAATGTTAATATTTCTAGTGTTCCTATGAGGATGACATGTTCGTTATATGAACAAATCCTCAATAATCAATAAAGAATTAAAAAAAAAAAAAAAAAAAACTAAATTCGGTTCTAAGTAAGGAAAAATGTTGGTGTAACACAATATTATTGGTAACTTCTACGTCTATCTATCAATTGGACATCAATTAAAATTAATGTTAACGACAGACATAATAAGTTTATTCATTATGTTCATACGATATCAGGATGGTGCCCAGCCGTTTTTCATTCAAGCGGAAGGTTCGGGAGCTACTTTTGAAGAGATTGGCAGAGTCGTAACTATTAAGATACTATAATTATGATATGTCTAAGTAGTATTTGTAATATAATTATGTAAGTTTATTGTTGTGTCATAACATGTAAGTTTATATAGGGATTTATTTTATGTAAGTCTATACTATTCTTTTTTATGTATTTCTCTTGGTCATTGTTCTTGAATACGCTTGCTTCTTGCATTGACCATTGTTTTTGTCTCTGTATCAACCTAAGGTCTGGCTGGAGGAGAATGCCCATGGCATTAAGCCCATCTTGTACATTTGTGTGTGAATGAAGCCTTTTAAAATAAAAACATAAATTTATGTAACTGAAAACAAAATACAAGGTGTTGTTTTAAAGCCGCGTCATTTACTAGGAGGTAACTCGGCTATAGAGGTATATTCTGAGTCCGAATCAATAAAAAAATTGTAGGTAAATATTTTTCATTTTTCTGTAATTTACGGAAATCCTTTAGTGCGAACTACACGCCGCCGCCTTGTAACTAGTTTTATAACGCGGATTAACACACACAAACTCAAATCAGTAAAATTTATATTATTCCTAATTCCATAAAACTCCAATAAGAAACATTGATGTCGCTTATTCTGAAATACTTTCGAACTTAAACGATTTATTATAACCGTATTTTTAACTATTGGCCCGAAAATTTCTCTTACATTGAACCTTTATGACTTCTGTACATGCCCCCGAGAAATGACACGGTTTCAAAACTACACCTTGTATATAACCATCAAACATCACGTTTCTAACCTCAACCGCGGCCGTACAAACGCAGGAGATAGTGCTAACATTTTATTAGACGTAAAACGAAATCGTGCCAGATAGAAACACGGGAAATGCATTACGTGTGCCTCAGACAAAACATGGATGCATTCAGGTTGAAGAAGTTGAATAAAAGCGTTTGATGCTTGGGATCGCTTTCTTAAACATACGTGTGAATGATCGAATGTCGATTTCAGTGGTGGTTTGAACTATATTATTATCATCCTATGCTATGTTATACGCTGCTATTTTATCTATTTTTTAAAAGTATAATTCATAGTTTTGAAAGTCATGTACCTAGTTATATATAGATTAAACTGTCAAACACCAAGCGGTCACCGGTGACCGCAACCTATTGTTCTATAATTGTGTCTATAATGACGGTACTCGACGAGTTAATTCACAATGGAATCGTCATATACTTACTTTATGCATAAAAAACTCAAATAAAAAAATATCTATGATATTATTTGATTCTTCTTTCAAAATGGAAATATCGAGAAATCGTAATAGTACTTAATTCAACTGGCAATCAAGATACCCCAAAAAATTCTGGAATTGTGCTCAGTAGCAATTTTCTTAGGCCTTAATATACATAGGATACGTATCATAACTGGTGAAAGTAGGGCAGGTGTTACTTCTTTAACCTTAATGTTGAGTTACACAAATGAAAGAGAAGATTCCATAGGTATTACAAATAATAATCATTTATTTGTAAAATAGAAATGCAAGTGACGACAGTAAATGAAAGGCAATCAAGAAAAAGTTGTGCTGTCAAACGTATATCGGCTAAGATGTTGAATCGTAGGGGATTATCTTCTAGAAGATTCTGCAGCTGCTGCAGTTCATCGCGCTGTCGTTCATCTACAAGAGAAAGAAATAGTAAGTCTTTCCTTAAAAAGTTGACGTGGTGTATACACAAAGGAAAACCAAAGCAAAAGAGAGCGAACTTGATTATCACGCTAAACATTATGTTACATTACTCGCATAGTTCTAAATTGTATAGGACCAAGTATAGTACCTTGGGAAACTCCTACACGTGTATGTATGTATGTATGCATATTGTTTTCATATGTAGGTATATATTATAATTATATTTATTTATGTATGTATATCTCTGAAATATATTAGTTTATCTTTCATTTTTCAATAAAATCACTGCTTGCCTCTTGCACCTACCATTTACTCTTCTCTGCATCACCCAAAGGTCAGACTGGTAGAAAATGCCTATGGCATTAGGTCCACCTATTTGTACATTTTGTGCATGAAGCATACTAAATAAATAAATGAATAAAAAGTCTAGTTAACTATAGTATTTTATTAATTGGTAGAGTTAGAAGTATGTGAATTAAATTTACCTCTAGAATGATAAATAACTACTTACTATTACAGCATACTTTTTCTTCGAGGACTTTAAATTTGATGAAATTATAGTCAGTTTCGATTAAATCCAAAATTATGGCTACTGCAAACATAGTATTTATAGGATCTGTTAAATATCCCAACATCCAGACTATACTTAATGCTGCCAAGCCCTTTAAAAACACAACAAAAATATCACTCCCTTATTTATTATAAAAAATACACATACATCAAAAATACTAATAGGTACATCTACACCACCCTAAGTAAACAATCACACTAAGATTATAAATGTGAAAGTCTCTGCCTCGTTGGCCGAGTTGTCGCAAGTGCGACTGCCGGGCAAGGGGTTTCTTTCGGGTTCGATTTCCGGGTCGGGCAAAGTATTACTGGGTTTTTTTAAAATTCTCAGTAGTAGCACGGAGTCTGGTACTGTGCCCGATATATGGCAATAGGCTCACCCCCTATTACATGGGACTCATAACATAAATAGTGAAAAGTGGGTGTTACATTAGACAGTGGTATAATATGCATCTTTGTCTACCCCTTCGAGGCAAACATAAGTCAATTTTAATTTACACGCGATCTGAGTTCTGGGCAACAATTAGTTCATATAAGTAGAAAGAAGAAAGGAAACCCACGAATGTCGGGGAGCCATGCGTCGACACGAATGGGCCGGCTCGACTGGAATTACACCACGGCCTCATAGAAAAACGTCGTGAAAAATGCTTGTGTTGTAATATGTCATATCAGTAAGATTACCGGAAGCCCCTCTTCTCAAATCCCTGAATCTGTACAAAACCTTAAATTCCTAATCCCCGAAAGCCGGGAAACGCACTTTTAACGCCTCTACTGTTCAAAATGTCCATGGGCGACGCCGATTGCTTTGCATCAGGTGATCCGTCTGCTTGTTTACCGGCTTATTCCATAAAAAATAAAAATATTCACTTACGTCTTGTCTTATGGCTGCCAGCTGGAAAAAGATGTCGCGTAATATCCTGACTATTGAGGTTAATAAACAACTTGAGATCTGTAAAGAAAAAGGATTCCTATTTAATCTATGATCTTGTATATCAGTAAATAAAGCAGGATGATTAGTTTCGTTTAATATGCAGTCCATAAGTCGGTACTTACGATGCAAGCGAATATAGTCTCTAAGAATTTCACTTTGTCATCAACTTAAACGAAACTTTAACAATAGGGTAGTTGCCAGGGAATGTAAATTAAAAATCTAATTAGTCCGTCAGTTACATAATGAAAAAATATTAAACACGTATTTTTTTATTTAGCTACAATACTTAGATAAGATGGAGTTAAATTTAGGAGTGGGAGGTCGTTGCGTCACAAAGTGCTACAAAATGTAGCGCATAGTGACGTCACACGATTTTTCAGCTTAATATATCGTCGAAAGTGTTTAATTTTGGAAGAAAAGAAATAATACGTGTCTAATGTTTTAAATTAATCTACTAGACGGACATTAAAATAAAATTTCGGCAACTACTCTATTATGAATGTCATTATTGAAAAATTCGTTGTTAATTTAGATAAAGTCAAATCCGCAAATTATAGTTACTAATATAATTATTTCAACTTACCGTTACTTTCATAGGTTTTTCGATTATTTGAAGGGAATCCAATAACATTTCGTAAATATCTAAATATTTCTGTCCGGAATATGTATTCCATGTACCATTCATTTCGTTTAATAAATTATTTTTGAACACTTTCAGTCGACAATATAAGAGACTAAATAAAATAATTACTGTCATTCTACCAATATCTCCCATCAACGCAATTAAGAAATTCGTAATGTGCAGGAGAAAATTTTCATAACAATATGTAATAGACAAAATGCAGACTGTAATAGGAGTGATCGACTTAAAAAGAAAGACAAGAACAATATAGAATTTTATCAAACAGTCTAAACGTTTGTACAATTTCCTAGCACTGGGTAAATTGTCAATGTCAGGCATGAACTTGAAGAAAGCATACACATACTCATCTTTGGTTTGAAATGCTAACATAAATAACACAATGTTGTCAAGAATTACAAGGTAAATAGTAGTATTGTAATCTTCTTCGAAATTTAAAAATTTTAATATTAAAATAACAGAGAAAACTAAACAACACAGAAGAGTGGTGATACCCGTAGTCAATAAGCCATTGAAATGTTGACAAAAGCCAAAGACGAATCGAAGAAACTTTAAAATATTTATATCACAAACTAATTCTTCTCCAATCATTCTAACAAAGAAAACCGTACTGCTTTACACAACTGCTATAGCTTTCTACGTAAATACTATTTTTGATATAGGCACTACATCAAATAGTACATTGTGTTCACTATTATTAATCTGAGGAATTCCTAGTATAATTGCTTCATTAAAGGTATTCAAGGCTTTATTGATAATATCATTCTGTGCACGTAGCTTCATTATTTTATATTTATAGGTAATTGCACCTACCTTAAACTGTCAAACACCAAGCGGTCACCGGTGACCACAACCTATTGTTCTATAATTGTGTCTATAATGACGATACTCGACGAGTTAAAGATATTTAGGTTAGTATTATTCATTGTGTGGGGTCCTAACCTTACCATTTATCATTTTTAAACGTAGCCAGTTCAAATCTTGATCAGTTTTCCTGTCCAGCATAAAAAATACGGCATACTTCCTTTTAGAAGTATACAGAGCGGATATGAATGGGGCCGTCGGTAGAGGGCGCCCTAGACGGACATATAGTGACCAGATTGGCGATATTTTAAAGAAGGGCCAAATTAAAAGTACCCTTAACCGACAAGCATGAAAATATTGATGACTGTTGATGAAGCGAAAGAAGTATGTAGGAACCGTAGTAATTGGCGTTCCCTAGTCTCTGCCTACCCCTATGGGAGAAAGGCATGAAGTTATGTATATATGTATGTACATCCGTATCTGAAAGAAACCTATAGTCCACTAGCGGACTATTACATGTAGTTGGTGATGATATTGTACTAAGTACCTATATAAGTATAGATAACTTTAAACAATTAAAGAATGATCTGAAGTCTCCTAAGTTAGAAGTTGGCTACGCTATAAATACAGTGAAATATATTAAAGTTTCAACTTTACCACCAGCCTATTTAAATCTAGAAATAGATACAGAAATGACCCGAATAATTATCCTACGAAGCGCATTCATTACAAAATCCATATCATTGATTTGAAATAAAATTTATGGTAAGGACATGGAACATTTTTCATTTATTCTGTTATGGAGTTTCAAGTTGTACTCATTGTTATTTATTAGTGCGCACCTTGCTTTTGATATTTGATATAGTGTGCTTTGTGAGAAATTGTGTTTCAGTTCACCGTTATATAGTTATCATGTTTGAAAATAAATTCATCATCAATCTAAAATCATTCATATTTATCCGCAGTATTCTAGGATTTCGTCATAATTTTGATGATTATTCCAAGAAGATTTCACTCTCTACCATATATCCTTTAGTTTTTTATTTTTCGTTAAATATAGCAATATTATCTCTTTCATACGATTCTTTAGATATTAACACTTTTGCGCACATATTCGATTATTTTATCTTTTTTGTGGTAAATTTTTACACAAAAGAAGAATATGTCTTTTCTTCCTTAAAGCGGTTGTTTCCTCTGGACTCTTTCCCTGGTGCAGAAAATGTTTACAGAAACATGAATATTTTTCTGCACACGTTTTGGTTATTATGCTCAAGTTTGAGAGCAGCGAGCGTATTTGTGTACTGTTATTGGTACAATTGCATGGATAAATCCGTAGGAATATTTTTCAATATGACTTTAATTTATGCCAATGATGCGGGTCGATTCAGTATCATTCTGATAGCTAGCGGTTTGTACTGCCGTACTAAAATCTTCAAAACGGCTTTCAATTCGGAATACATGAATAGTAACCGTAATGGATCTGTTATCAAGAATTATATTTACATGTACGAAGCTATTGTTAACATTATCGATGATGTTAATAATCCTATGAAATCTATTGTAAGTTAATTTAATTTGTTACAAATCTGTCGGAGTTCTCATAAAATAAATAATGCGAATATTATTAATTATCTCCAATAGTTAATCAATAAGCCTTGTCCTCTTTATATTGAACCTTATAATAAGACAGGTTTAACAAACTTACACCTTTTTCGTTTTTTTTTATGGCATAAGTCGATAAACGAGCAGACGGATCACCTGATGGTAAGCAATCGGCGTCGCCCATGGACACCTGGAACATCAAAAGCATTACAAGTGCGTTACCGGCCTTTTGGGGATTGGGAGTTTGAGGATCGTTGGGGATTCAGAAATTAGGGATATTGGGGAAGGGGAGTGTAATTGGGCCTCCAGTCACCTCACTCACACGACGAAACACAACGCTTCATGTCGGTTTTCTGTGAGGCCGTGGTATCACTCCGGTCGAGCCGGCCCATGCGTGACGAAGCATGGCTCTCCTACACTTTACAATATCTTTACAATTGCTTAATATTTCAATATTTTTTTTCAGATAACCTGTATCATTGGATCAACAATAATACGGTTTGGTGGTCAATTATACGATCATTTATCTAACCTTCGAATTTACGTGAGTTAAGAATTAAAAACAAGATACAACATTTTAAAAAATCAATTTGTCTCAAGATTTTCTTTTTCAGGGATGGAATTTCGTTAATTTTTTATGGATAATTGGAATATCATCAGACCCTTTCCTATACGTCTTAGTTGCTGCAATTATATTCGATTTGACACTCGACAACTTTAATGCTATCAAAATTATATGTATGGAAAAGAAAATATTATGTACAAGTGAGTGTTGAACATTAATCTATAACAATAATCTATATGTTAGAACATTTTATTATAAAGTGCCACTGAATTCAACTATTAGAGAAATTTAGATATATCCTACAGAGGAAAAAACCACCTGTTGCTGATTACTTCATTCATTAAAATATTAAATAGCTTTATTTGACAAAATATAACCAATTTTTTGTAGTATTTACTAAATATTTTTGTGTTTTTCAGATGAACGTGAATACTCTGATCTACACAATTTGCAATTACTTCTGGAAAATCGTCCCATTCGCTTTTCTATCTGGCGTGTTGTACCGTTTAGTGTGCATCAGATACTGAGCAGTTTTTCTTTTGCAGTCATTAGCATCATCGCCATGTTGCAAATTAAGTCTTATTATACCTAGAATATAATTTGAAATCGTGTAGTTGGTCTAGTTGTTGGTGTTGGTGTCTTTGTAGTTGAGTGATAACGTTTCGCTTGTACTTAAATTAATGTGTTCTCAATAAATGTCTCACCTATTAATTTTGATTTTTCTATGATACCTTTTTATCATTTTTTTAGCTTTAACTGCCTTGTTGGCCGAGTGGTCGCAAGTGCGATTGCCAGGCAAAACATGAGTGGGTTTTAAACAAATTCTCAATAATAGCACGGAGTTTGGAATTGTGCCCGATATATGGCAATAGGCTCACCCCCACTACCACATGGGATTCATAATATAAATAGTGAAAAGGGGGTGTTACATTTTACACCGGCATTGTAAGTGCTAAACTGCCTACCCCATCGGGGATAAAAGGCGTGATGTTAGAGGTATTTTTTTTTTATTTTTTTTAAGGGGGGAAAATCATCGAATGACTGCTCCCGCCTGGGTGAGGCGGGAGGGAGTGTCAGACTCTTACTGACTAAAAACCACCCCGTTCCTTCTCCTGCACGTCGAGCCGGAGCCCCGGTTACCCGTTAGGTTCTCATAGCCTAGAATAGCGCAGAATATATTAGCATGGCATGGCATGGCGTAGCGTAACACATCATAGCATAGCGTACCCTACATTACCTACATAGCATGACGAGCATATCAAATCAAAGAATAGCATGGGATGGCATGGCATAGCATAGCGTAGCATAGCGTAGCATAGCGTAGCATAGCGTAGCATAGCGTAGCATAGCGTAGCATAGCGTAGCATAGCGTAGCATAGCGTAGCATGGCATACACGGAAAGGCTTTGCATGACACGGCTTTGCATGGCATGGCCTTGCACGGCTTGTCATTGCATGGCATGGCGTTGTATGGCTTGGCATGGCATGGTGTCGGATGGCATGGCATGGCATTGCATTACATGTCTTAGCGTGGCATGGCGTTACATGGCCTGGCATGGTATTGAATGGCCTGGCATGACATTGAATGGGCTGGCATGGCAATGTAGGGCTTAGCATGGAATATAATTTGCCCGACCCGTGAATCGAACCCGAGACTCATTGTCCGGCAGTCACTCGGCCAACGACGCATAAGCAAGAATAATAAATCATGATATAGTGTCTTCTTCTCGGTCATTTCTGAAGGTCGTGCCCCTGAAAAGCTTTTATTGCTCTCTCTGTTATTTTCCTCCATCTTGTCCTGTTTGCAGACTGTAGATAGACTATTTTGATGTTTATTTAAGTTTTCAACAGTTTTGCAATTCATTGTGTAAAATAATGGAATTGAAATGACTTAAATCCAATTGACTTTACAGTGATAACAGGTATATATGGGGTCTAAACTAACCATTAGACAATACACAACCCAGTTTAACGTTTGAGAGAACCCTATTGAAATGAGCGTCATTGTTACAAGGAGTATTGATTTCAGCCTATTTGGTAACCCTGTCAACGCTAACAATATCGTATGGGTAGTTTGTACCCTCAAGAAGGTTTACAAAGGGTTAATTACTTGTAACGATAACTGCTATCGTGTCGATGGGGATCCGAAAGTGGTTGTTTAATCTTGTGTAGGGTTGAGCAATGTGTTATTGCGGTTTTGATATGGAATTAGTTTCTTTCTGGCAATCGAAAATATAATCTAACAATAAGCAACCTTATACGCGAAGATTATACTTATGAAGAGGTCTAATTTCCATATCATCAAGTGTGGAAGAGCCATGCATCAGCACGAACGGGCCGTTTCGACTGAAGTGATACCACGGCATCACAGAAAACCGATGTACAACACTTGTGTCGTGTTT